TGGTTCTGCTGCCTGGCAGGAGCAGCAGGTGTAATCAGGGTTTTGGGATAACAAACATCTTGCTGAAAAACCCCCAAGAGTGGATTTCTCAGTGCTTGGTGTGGCTGTGGCGTGCAAGCAAACGCTCAGGATGTGGAGACAGGGTTGATTTATCTTGAACAGGAAAGAGCCCCCTCCACACCCACAAGCCCTGCTGTTGAACTTTAGCACCAAACATCATCCTGTGTTAACTCCTGCTTTGTTTTTTGGAGTTGTGGCTGGGTTTAGTTTTGGTTGCTTAGGGTTTGTTGTTTTGAAATGTTTGTTTTGCTTGATGGTGTCTAAGGCCTTAACGAAGCCAGAGGATCTGACAGCAGCAGCCTTGTCCCAAGGTGTGGGGCAAACAGCAAACTCTAGATGGAAAAATCAGTGGGACACCAATCTGTGTCCCATTACTCTGTTTGGTGAGGAAACTCTCTGTAACAGAGGCTTCTGGGTTGGAATTTGGGTTTGTAAGAGACAAACGCAATTTGGAATTTTGAGGCCGTGATTCTTTTAGCCAGAGGTTTTTAACACACCTGGATGATGAGATTTCTGGGAGGGCAGAATAAGTGGATCAGGGAATAGGAGTGGCACTTCCCAAGCTGGAAGTGCTGGATGTGGGATGCAGTCACGTGGGAATGATACCCTGCTCTCTGAAAAACATCCTTATCGTTGAGTGGGGGGTTTGAAAAGGATGTCTCATTTCTATTTTTCCTCTTTTATGGAAAGCTTCACTCTTCCAGGCTCAAAAGGGACCTCAGTAGTGTTAAATTCTTGCTTTCACCTGGGTATGTAATTGCACATGCCCTGGATGGAATTGCCATTCCTGGAGAGGTGCTGGGTGTTGAGCTCTGCAGAGCCACCCCTGGGAAGGTCCATATGTTTCTCCAAAGATCTAAAGGTCAACCACAGCCCTGAATCAAAAAGAACAGAAGGCTGGGCAACACACATGATGAGCAGAGTGAGGATTTTATCCATTTAGATTAGATGAGAGCTCCAGGAGCTGCTTGGGTGATGGATGGCAGAGAGTGAAGACACCTCCTTGTGAGGTGAAAAATGTCCTTATCGTTGAGTGGGGCGTTTGGAAATGGCATCTCCTTTCTATTTTTCTCTTTTATGGAAAGCTTCACTCTTCCAGGCTCAAAAGGGACCTCAATGGTGTTAAATTCTTGCTTTGACCTGGGTTTGTGATTGCACATGGCCTGGATGGAATTGCCATTCCTGGAGGGATGCTGGGTGTTCAGCTCTGCAGAGCTACCCATGGGACAGTCCATGTGTTTCTCCAAAGATCAACCACGGCCTTGAACCAAAAAGAGCAGAAGTTTGGGCACCTGGGAAACACACATGATGAGCAGAGTGAGGATTTTATCCATTTAGATTAGATGAGAGCTCCAGGAGCTGCTTGGGTGATGGATGGCACGGAGTGAAGACACCTCATTGTGAGGTCCTGTATCCTGGTGGACCTCAGGGGTTTGGGATCCCACTGCAGCTCCTGCCATCCCCTTCAGAGTGACCCAAGGAAGGTGTGTGATGCCTCAGAGCTGTCCCAGTGTGTCTGGGGGTTTTAGGGTTTGAGTGGGCTGGGAGTGCCCGGGGATCAGCTCAGCCAGGCAGAGCATCCCGGGTTGCAAAACTGCGAGGGCAAAGGACACCCACGTGTCCAAACACAGCAGCACGAGGTGTTTCTTCACTCCCTGCTGAACCAGGAGGAGCTTCCAGCCCATTTTCCAGACGATTCTGGTTTGCTGCCAGGGTTTAAAATACACCTTCCCTCTTGCATACGTGTTGGAGCACATGATGCTGAAATGGGAGGAATTCTGCTCAGGGAACTCAGTTCAACTTGCAGGCGAGGCTGAGCTTTTTTTAGGGAGAGAGGGAGCAGAGTGGTTTCCTGCGGACGTTGCTCTGTGAGTCACACGAGTTCCATGACACAGCATTCCTGCCGGGAAACTTCACTGCTGGAACTGATGAGCACATCAGCGCTCTGGAATCTCCCTTTGTGTTAGCAAACACACCTAAGCACTTCACCTGCTGCTTCTGGAACTTGTTCTGATAGTACTTGAGAGATTTTTAAACTCAGCTGTTTCAGAGTTTTTTAGTTTCTCTCAGAACCCCACTAATATCAATATTTTTAGTGTCCATTAAGAGCCTTCCACATAAGAAGTTGTAATGGCTTTTAATGCTGCAACACAGATGAAATAATAATTATTATTTAATTACATGTGTAATAATGAAGTTTCACATTACTTCTCTAAGTGTTTTAATGCAAACACTTTTAAGGTCAGAGTAGCTTTATAATTCCTCTGTAGCATGTTTTTTCTGATGTGTCAGTGACCAGGACAAGTTACTGGAATGGACAGACAAAAAAAAAAAAGCTTTGAAGGTTGTTTTGGATATGTGAGGTGGATGTATAGATTTATATTCTTGGTTTGAAGCCCTGTGAACACATCACAGAGTGACAATGATGGGCTGGCCCTGCTGAGGGACCTCCAGGGCTGTGTCCAGTTCTGGGTCCCCAATCCAGGAAGGACATGGAGGGGCTGGAGTGTGTCCAGGGCAGGGAATGGAGCCCCAGGAGGGGCTGAGGGAGCTGGCAAGGGGCTCAGCCTGGAGCAAAGGAGGCTCAGGGGGCCCTTGTGGCTCTGCACAACTCCCTGCCAGGAGGGGACAGCCAGGGGGGGTCGGGCTGTGCTGCCAGGGAACAGGGACAGGACAAGGGGAAAGGGCCTCAGGCTGGGCCAGGGGAGGCTCAGCTGGGACAGCAGCAGCAATTCCTGCATGCAAAGGGTGCTCAGGCCTTGGCAGGGGCTGCCCAGGGAGCTTTGCAGTGCCCAGCCCTGCAGGTGTCCCAGGAAGGGCTGGAGGTGGCACTCAGTGCTCTGGGCTGGGCACAAGGTGGGCACTGGGCACAGCTGGGACTCTCCAGCCTCAGGAATCCTGGGGTTCTGAGCAGTTTTTTCGCAATTGCTAGAGACTTTCATTGCCACCCTCAGTGCTGGATTTCACCTGCTAATACACAATCCTTTTCTGGTGGGTAGGGTGTAAGAGGGCTCAACATAACCTGACTGTTTTTGGTGTTTAGGCAGTTTTCAGCTGTCAAGGCAAGGAAGGCATTTCCCCAGGCCTTTGGAAGGACATCCCAAATGACTCTTGAATGATCAAGACACAGCAGCAGTGGAGCACTGGGGTCGCAGCCCTTTCTCCTCAGTGCCAGCAGTCAACCTCAAATCTGGTTTTTGTCACATTGCTCACGTTTTGGTGGGAAATAAACAACATCTCTGTGGCCGTCTCTATTCTTCAGGCGTTTTTTGAGTGATTGTCACTCTCCTGTTGAAGCAGGATGGGGGAAGGTAGAGGTGAAACAGCAACAGCCACTGAACTGAGGGCAGTAGTCCCAGATATCCAGTCCTATAGAAAGAAAATTATGTCATCAGCTCAGGCTGTCCTCTCCTTCAGCCGTTAGGCTAAATATGTCCTGGCTGCACTGTGTAGGAGAGAAAAACACCCTCCTTTGCACATCCAGTGGAAGAGTTCATTGTGTTTCTTTTTATTTGTTTAGGGCTTTGCAGGGTGTTATGTTGTATCTGTCTGGACACATGCAGTATTTAAATTCACCACGGTTGAAAAGGTGTTCTCAAAGCTCCCTTTTAATTACCTGTAATACTCGTCCAACTGTCTTTTCTTCTCCCTTCTGGCCCCACCTGACTCGTGGGAACACAGGGCTGCCTTTGTTATGTGCCTTGAGGTCACTGAACTCACACAGGCCTGGATCATGGGGGAAAAAATATCGCCAAGATAAGATCTGCTGGAGTAGCACAAGAGCATTTCTGTCAAATATGAACGCATTTATTGTCTGGAAGGAGTTCCTGAGTTGGCCTCTGGCCTCACCAGGTGACTTGTGCTGTCCTGAGAGGTGTGTGAGTGTCCTCAGCATAACAAGGAGTCCTTCTTGGCCTGTGGCATCTTCTAATTAGGCTGTAGATTCCTCATGTATATTCTCAGTGGGAGGGATTTATAGGATTGTTACTGACTAAAGAATTTTTAGGTGATGAGCAATTCCTGTTTTCACTCCAGAATCCCTCCTGGAAAGGAGGCCCAGGTTGGGCAGATGACATCTGTTGAGTGTTATAGAGCCCAGTCACTAAAAAACTGCTGGAAAAAAACTCCAGAGCTCACTGGTGCCTCATTCCATGTCTCCTCAGATTTTAAATAAAATGGGAGTTGGACTTGACCATGGGCCATTTTTAGGTGTCTAAACTTTGTGGAGGAGCTGATGGTGAGCACATTGTTCCACTGGATACTTGGCTGTCGCCATGTGTTAGGAAAAAGCACTGCTGGGCCATGCTCAGGGGTGTGGATATACTAAAAAACCCCAAAGCAGCTGCTCCTATAAAATACTTGTTTTCTGTGTGATAGGATTAGTGTGGAAGGATTTCTGTGTGCAGCTTCTGAAAATTCTTTTTCCACCCTGTAGCTCTGCAGATTCCTCCATATTCCTGGCAGCAGGCTGCCTCTCTCGGGATGGAGCTCAGAAATGCTGCTATTTGTTCCTGCTAGTGCCTATTTTTCAGTTTCCACATTATTTAATCCATGGAGTGGAAGCAGGCTGCTTCCTACGCCTCTGACTTCACTCCTGGCCAGTGTCTCTGTTGGATCCAGCAGGCTGGGGAGAGTCCGTGCTCTGCTGGAAAACACTGCCAGCGCTGCTGCTCATCCCATCAGTGTTCCCAACATGACTCAGCCCGCTTTGTGTTGTGGTTTTGTACCGAATTACAGCAGCTCCCCGCTGCCCCGAGTTAGCAGCCAGCAGGCATCTCTGCTCCCTCTCACCTGGGATGCTTTCCCCGGCCTTTCCCGCTGCATCCTGGAGATGCTGTGTGCTTCCAGTCCTTGCTGTGCCCTTTGGGATAGAGGCTGGGTGCCAGCCCTCGGGGGGTGGTGATGCTGCCTGGCCAGGGACTCTGCTGCTGCTGGAGCCAAAAATTCATGGAAAGCTTGAGAAATGAATTGGTTGTTGCTTTGTGTTAGTGTGGTGGAACACGACTTTTCTTTTTGGTGGAGGGATATTTTTAAAATTTGTAGAGTATGACTGATATATAACTGGAAAAAGGAATCCTTCTCCCTGCAGTGACTTTTAAGTGACACTTAACGAAAGCATTCCGCGCGTGCAGCAGGAATCACCAGGCCGAAGACGGGCGATGTCCCCATTTCCCCCTGTTTCAGGCACTGTTTGCCGGCAGGGCAGCACTGCCGGGATCTGTTGCACCACCCGCGGCCGGGCTGGCACTCCCGGCCTCCTCCTCCTCCTCCTCCTGCTGCTGCTGCTGCTCCTGTGGCGGGCGCTCCGTCCCCTCCTCTCCCGGCGCTGACGCACTGGCGCGCCCGCGGGAGGAGCGGCGGCAGCGCTGCCGCTCCATCCCCTCTGGATCTCGGATCTCCGCTCACCTCTCGGCCTTTCCCTCCGCAGGAGCTTCCCGCGGGGCTGCCGAGCAGCCGGCAGAGGAGCTCTGAGGAAGCCCAGCGCGGGGGAAGTTGAAAGGCGAACTTTGAAGGCGAAGGAAGTCGGGGCTCCGCGCTCCGGGAGTGGCCGCGCCGCCGCCGTGTCCCCGTCCTGCTGCTGCCGGGAGCGGCTGCGGCTGCCAGAGGACAAGCCGCGTTTGCTGCTGCTCTCTGCAGCCTCATTTCCAGCAGTGAGTAGCTCTTTCCCCTCCGGATGGTCCCGTTTGAGTGTTTGGAGTGTTTGGAGTAGAGGGGTGTTTGGCTCTGCTGCGTCTGAGGAGGCACAGAGGGGCTTGGGTACAGCCAGGTCTACAGCACAGCTGTGGGGAGCTGGTTGTCTTTTTGCTTGGGTGACTTTTTTGAAAGTGGCGCTTAAACTTGTGGTTACTTTGTTGTTCGCTGCTTGGTTTTAATCTTAGTTTTCAGTTTAGCTTGAGGTCTTTTTTACTCGAAACCAGCCAGGCTGCCAGCATGTGGGACAGCAGTGACCTGCTGGTGGCTTGTCCCCCAGGTTGTATGCGACAGGGTTGTGTTTCCATCAGGCAGCTTCACCTCCTGCCGGGACACGGAATCTCCCCCTGGTTTCTGGGCTTGGAGGTTTGTTTGCAGCACACCTGTGGCAGACAACCAGAGTTACACAGCGTGGCAACGGCACAAACTAAAAGCCAAGGACAATCTGCTGTCCCCTTTGGTGGCACCTTGGGCAGCTCTCCCCATGCCTGACCTGCCCCTTGGCTGCTGCCAGATATCCCCAGGGCGGTTGTTTGCCGTGTTTGTAGGAAGGAGCAGGAGCAAGAAGGTGTTTCAGACTTTCTGTGATGTTGTAGAGTGCCTGTGCCTGTGCCTGTGACTGCTCTGTGTGTGTCACAGTGTCACCCCTGCCCGGCAGCATGAACACAGCTGGGAGTGTACAGCAGGGTGGCCCCGGGTGTGAGCAGCCCGTGAGTCACTGGGAGAACACAGAAACGCTCTCAGAGGGCACAGGGGAACAGAACTTCATCCCTGGATCCGCTGCGGAGTCTTTCCAGGGGCTCTGATCCTATTTGTGCGTTTTGGGCACGGCTGCCTCTTCTGCTCAGCCTAAACCTCTTTGGAACTCAATGCTTTAAGCTGGAAGCTTTATAATAGATTTAGAGCTATGAGTCAAGGAGGTTTGTTTTTTTTTTACTTGACTTCTGGGGAAGAAACTGAACCAAACTGCCTGCAGTGGCTGATCTGTGTGTATTTTTGATACATATATTTGTGTATATGAACACACAAGTGCACACACAGAGAAGAGCTACTCCAGGCATTGGTTTTTAGGCTCTGTGTGTGTATAGATGGGCACGTGTATCTGTATAAAAATGTGTTTTTATAGCAGGATGGTGTGAGCAAGCTGAGAGGAGCATTTTAATTTCTTCCTGCTCTGTCAAGTAATACCCTGCCTTCTTCATTTGCCAGTTGATTTGGTTATGCCGACAAAGGCAGGAAAACAGACCATAACAAAACCACTCTTATCTAATCTGCTTAACAGCACTGTCAGGTAAATCATTAACCCACAGGCCTGGTGCCTGTAAAAGATGCTAAAGAGGTTTCCCTGAAATTCCCCTTTTCCAGAAGGTAAGAAATGAAATTAGTTGCAGATCTTGGTTTCACACGTGGGTGTTTGCTGCTGCCGTGGTTTCTGTGCCTGTTAACAAAGTGCTGCAGTCCAGTGGATTAATGATGGGAGAGGACCTGCTCACCCTGAGGTCTTTTTCCTAAGAGAGCAGTTCCAGCTAAGGCAGAGGGGAAACACAGCATTTACTTGCAAACACTGTCATTCATTAATGAAATGTAATTTCACGTGGGTTCATGGCTGATGGAGTGTTTTGCTCAGCAGCTTCGTTTCCTGGCATCCTGTGATTCAAATCCCTTTGAGCTGGGAAGATTTGCTGTGGGTCTTGCTGTGCTTAATTCCACACCAGGCTTCTGTTTTGGTTGACTTTTGTTTCTGTAGGCATGTAAGTGATGGATTTCTCTGAAGCATTTAATACTCAGAGTCTGTACAGTCCTGTCTGCAGTTGCTTTACATTTTGATTGATTGTGTTGGCAGTGAGTAACTTAAGCATGGAAAATCTGTAGCACATGGACAACAGCAGAAGTAGTTCAATTTGTGATGTTTGCAGCCATTGCCTGAATAAAGAAAAAGGGTTCAAGAAGGGCTTAAGCTGTTCTAGCTGCCCATGTCCAAGAGCATGACTCAAAACTTCCAGCTAAACTCCTCTAAGCTCCCTGAGTCGGTGTTGGAGTGGTGCCTTCCCCCCCTAAGCTGGATCTGTTTAAAGTGCCAAACTCTCAGTCTGGCTGTCTTCTGCCAAAGGTCTGCCTGCTCCTACCAGGGCATTTTCAGGCATCTCCAGGGAGAAGATTAATCCAATTGGAGGGCACAGCTCAGAAAGCTGGACCTCACTTTCAGTGCTAGCCCGTGCCCCAAGTGCTGTGTGCCCAAGTTTGGCACAGCTCAGCCCCCTGCACAGCCTGTGCTCTGCTTGCTCAGCTTTCCAGCTGCCTGGGAAAGCTCCAGACTGCTCCTGCTGCTCAGGAAAGTGCCCTTTTTGCTTGGTTAACTTTACAGCCTGGCTGCACATTAGCTTTATAAAGCTGAGCTTTTTAAAGCTGCTCTCCCATGTGAGGAGAGAGCTCCGGGTCTGACACCTAACGCCAAGTGCCTGAGGGAGGAGATGCCCAAACCTGGAGGAGAAGGTGACTCCAGACCTTTCCCCAGGAGGTGGGAGCTTGTGGAAGGAGGTCTCTGTGCTGGGGACACCCAGAAATGTTCCCAAGTGCTGTGTCAGGTGGTGATGTTGCTTACAGAGGGTAGAGTGGTCCCTCCTCCCTGTCCTGGGATCTGCTCCCAGTACAGGAGCAGGTCCATGCTCTGGATCCTTTCTCCTTTGAGTTTTTAGGGACAAGAAGTGCTGATTGGGATCTCAGCCAGTTCAGGTGAGCCATGATCCTTTGGGTAACCAGGTTACCACACTCTGTGTGCAGTCAGAGCTGTTGTGGCCGCAGGGGACAAGCAGAAGGAGCACACCTTGTGAATGTCCCTTGTGCACTCTCCTCTGGCCTGAGGATGGTTTTTGGCCAGGAAAATTGCCCTGATGGAGCACTCTGTTGTCTCCAGCTGCTTTCTGCAGCTGTCTGCATGGCAGAGGAGGTGGGGGGAAATGACTCTGGTTAAAAATAGAAAGGTGGATTAGGAAATGTGAGCATTGGTTTCAGCATCCAGCAGGGCTGCTCTCACAACTCGCTGCTGCCACCGAAAGGGGAAGGACTTGCTCGTGCTCCTTGTCTGCAGAAAAGCAGGAAAAGAGCAGGTTTTCCTGCAAAAAACCAGCAAAAGAGCAGGTTTTCCACCGTGGAATCACCCAGGCACAGGGGAGGAGGAGGGGGATGCCTCTTGAGAAAATCTTGCTGAGCTCTGCTGGCACAGGTGACACAGCCCAGGTGTGCAGGGACTGGAATTCAAGTGAAGGCTCCCACTGGAAAGGTTTGGTTTAAGCTCATCTGGGTTAGTCTGCCCGAGTTAAGGACAAAGATTTTAGGAGATTTACTCTGCTCTTTGAATTGTTCTTATTCTGCTGTTTTATGAGGAGAGTTCTACTTGGAGGGGGGAAAAAAAAGCAAAACCAAAAAATAGTGAGGGTGTGATTTCGCTGAATGTGAATGTGTAATATGACGCTCTCAGAAGAGACTTTATTTTGCAATAAGTGTGTGAAGTGTCAACAGACAAGCCAAGGGGAAATAATTCTGCTTTGGAAACTATGGACTTCCAAAGTTGCTTTTAGGAAGTGTTTGCTGTACAGTGTTTTGTCACCAGCCTTCAGTGTTTATCACTGTTCCTTGTGGTTATCACTGGTCCTTTTGATATATTTTCTGTTGCCTTTCCTAAAACAACTGAACTCCTAAAACCAGTTAGAAAAACAATTTTTTTTTATTTGGGAAAAGTTTGTTTCCTGCTGCTTTTTTTTTTCCCTTTGATTTTGGGAGTTTGAATTTACTTTTATTTGCTTTTTAAATTTTTTTAAAACTCTTTATCAGCTTTTAGAACAGTTTGAGTTCTCTTTGGTTCAGCTGCTGCTGTAGCATGTGTTGTAGCAGTGATCCAGCCTGTACAGTGTTTAGAAAGAAATATCTAGGGACATTTCAGATATTCTAGATAGATCCTAAAACCCAGGATGCATCCTGTACCAAGCATTCCCTGCAAAGGATGTGGTGAAGGGACTGCAGCAGCTATTTATCATAGCTAAAGAATGTTTATCTAATACTTAGTTGAGAAAACCTGTCACATTTCCTGGGCAAATACTTTGAAGACAAAGAGCATTTATTCATTTTGAGAAGCTGTGAATACAAGGTGGAATTCAGTATCAGTTTCCCTTTACCTGGAATTGTTCTGTCTTGTAAAAGTGAATTTAAGAATTGAAGTTACACTTCAACCTCTGAAAGAGAATCTTGAAGACAAACAGGTATTTTTACTCAATTAAGTTTCACAACACTTCAGCATGATTTCTCAGGAATTACTGGGCTGCTTTTCATAACCAGGAGTAAAAATTCATTGGTTTCAGTGATGGATATAACACTTGTTTTCTTGTAAATTTAAATGATCACCTCAGCAGTCAAGCAGGTTTTTCACCACTAAGAATATGATGCTGTAATACTTGGTTTAGTTTTTAAAATAAGGAACTTGAAGACATTTGATTCCAATTTATTTGTATTGGAGAAGCTGATGCTTTGGGATTATTGGGTATTAACCATCAAGGGTGAGAAGGATTTAGTTGAAAGACCACCAGCAAGTGAGTTTTGGTGTAACTTTGATTTCAGTTTCATCTTCCCAGCTTTCTGGGTTTTTTCCATATGATTTCAAACTCCTTTGGTGTTTTGAACTTTTCCTTTTTCATCTCAGCCACCTGCTTTGCTCTGGGGACATTGGTTTGTCTGTTCTAAACCAGTCACACCCCACCTAAATCCTGGCATTGTTCAGCTCTCTCAGAGTGTTTGGATGTTGCACTGAGGTTAAAACAACACAGAACAACCTCACCAACAGCACAGGATGCTGGAGCAGCTCTGTGGGAGAGACCTGGGGGACACCGAGCTGTCCCCGAACCAGCAGAGTGTCCTGGGGACACCGAGCTGTCCCCGAACCAGCAGAGTGTCCTGGGGACACCGAGCT